TGAACACGTTGACGCCGTTGACGCCGTTGACGACGTTAACGTCTTCACGCGCTTCGCGCGCTTCACGTCTTCGCGCCGCATCTCACGTCTTCACTTCTTCACGTCTTCGCGCGCTTCGCCCCAAAATTTACGCACCGCTGCGGCCATCAATGGGACTTGTTGGCAAAGGTTGATAGACTTGCCAAATTGTGGCCACAAGCATAGCGCTGGCAAAAATGCCTGCGAACTACCTTTTCCGCAGGGTGGGCGGATAATACGTTCATGGAAGCCGCTAGCCTCGACAAGAACAACGAGAATACACAACTGCAGAAGGACTGTTCTGGTCTGACTTTCAAAGGGGCTCAAGGATACAGCTGTGGTCAGTTGGGATCTGTGAGGGGAGGGGGGGGGGGCACACCTTCCTGGACGCAGGGCTTCTGCGGAGTCCCCCTCCCCAAAGGGCCCCACCGACGCCGATCCTCTTCTCCAAGATGAAGCCCTGAAACACACAGGATGTTCATGGAAGTCTATGCTTGAGTTTTGAGAACTGGAGGCTGCCGTAAGATGTGGCGGACTTTGTAGCTTCCTATCCCAAGGTCATGCTGTCCCTGAACCAACGCAGAACAAGTAAAACTGCTGGCGTCAAACAACTGTTTGAAATCAAGATCCTCTTGTTCACCAGTGCGGGCACTGCAAACGGAAACTTCTGGAACCTGCCACGCTGCACAGTGGCACTGGCTAGTGTTTAGGGTCATCGCCAGTTTTGGCTACTATTTACAAGTCAACCGGCACGCAGGCAACAATTCGGAATTCGGAGACTAGCAGCTGCAAAACAACGTCTGCCATAGTCAAACCAAAAATCATGTTCAAGGTTTGGGTAGTCGCCCCTTCCGATCTGCGGCAGCCTTTCTACGTGACAAACCCATGTCACCTCTCAACACTTCTCGAAATTGCCATATTGCACGAAGTCAAGCCACGAATCCTAGATGATGCTTTTCTGAGTCCAGTAAACCCTAAACCCTGTAAACCCTAAGCCCAGCCTCCTCCAGAAAGGAGTCCTTCAAAGAGGCGCCGGGTTTTTTCAGCACCTGTCAGATGCTTTTGGTGTTGGGCTTCAGATGTAGGATGTGGGATTCAGGGTGCAGGGTGGTTGGGGTTGGGGTCCAGAGCTTGGGGTCCTGGATTGTTTGGGGTCCTGGATTCTAGGCTCGGGGTTCCGGGTAAGGTTCACATCAAGGGGATGAACGCGAATTAGGCTACATACCTGGCCATGGGGTCACAAGAAGAGATAGTAGATCCCAGCAAGCCGCGGCTGCAACAAGGGAGCTGCCCCTTCTACAACCCCAAAAAGTCCTAAAGGAGAGCTGATAGCCTTATAATGCCCCTTTCTATATCCCGGGGTCGCTTGGGTGTTCAACGCCAAACCATGAACCACAAAACCTTCGCACAATCCCAGTAGCAGAGGGTGCCTGGATGTAATCCAGATTAGGCCTGCAAGAGTCAAAGGGTCTGGGAGGCTCAAGGAGCTGGGGGTTTAGGGTTCAGAGTTGAGAATTTAGGGTGTAGGGGTTCAGGTTTGAGAGTTTTGGGGGTTTGAGCTTAGGATGCAGGGTGTAGGGTCTAGAGAAAAGCAAAACAATATACATGTCAACTGCGTGGGCGGAAGTTGGCGTCTCACATGTTGAGACATGTGGGCCTCCCGTCTATGGGGACCCTACTATAGGCTTACATGTCTATATGACTGTACGTACCTTTGTTCCTTTAAGGAATGCCCATGGAGCCCTCGTAAGCAGAGAGTGCTCAAGAAGCAGGCAAAAAAGGCTTCGGACAGACTATGGAACTGTATCCGTTTGCGGTCAGTTCACCTAATTAAGATTGCAGAAGTGACTCCCCGTGTGCCTTGTAAGGAATGCAAGAATGGATTGTGGGGACTAAGACCGGGAGTTGCACAGGACCCACTGTAGGCATTCGTACTAGGCACCAGGCACACGAGGCTGAGTTCCACACTTCCCACCCAGTCGAAGGACTGCGTCGACGGCTAGCGTCGCAAAATGGTCCTTCTCGTGCTGCAGCCTTGAAAAGCTTGCGGTTTAGGGTTTAGGGTTTGGGGTTTCAACAAAGAAAAAGGCCCTCCAAACATCATGGGAATCCACCATACTCCCGAAATAATGGAACTATGCATATATGAATAAAACTGCCGAAAAATGATTCTTCTAGCGTCCCCAGGCTTCAGCCCGATGATTCGACCTAATGTAGGGGCACAGATAGTTCCCAATATCACTTTGGGGTCTATTTGAGGTATCCCGTGCCATAACATAAGGAATATTACAATATTCATGTTTATTTCGGCTCCTGCATTACTTGTATGCTTCCTTGGGCGTAGTCCTTGATGGTCCTTCGAATAAGGTCGACAAAACACCCTGAACCCGCTGCTATCCCTCCCACGCTTGACGTACCCTAGCCACCACGAAGTAAATCGAACGTCCTGTGTAGAAAACCCTACCTGCAAGAATGCTATCGTTGATAGCTAACAGTCCTGCATTACGTGTACAAACTAAACTCCCAGGATTCCCAAGGTGTTTGATACGTGCGGTCATGCAGGATTAGTGCTTCTTTCGCTACAATTATTGCTGTTATCACTATTGTGCTTACGGTGGATACTAGTATTGCTAGTATCTCTAGTATTACTGTTGTTACTATAGCTAGTGCTCCTAAACCCTAAACCCTGAACCCTAAACCCTGAACCCTACTGCTAGTATAACTACGATTGTTTTGAACCCTAACCCAACTCTGAGCATGAGGCAGCTTGGAGCTAAGAGTAGTCCGTGCTATCCTCAAGAGATCCTGCTTTCGCGTCTCAAAGGAGCTCAGGGTTTTGGGTTTAGGATTTAGGGCTTAAGTTTAGGGTTTAGGGTTTAGAATTCAAGGTTTCGGGTTTAGGGCGTCTACCTGCGCGGGGCTGAGTATCCATACGTCGATAGCGCCACCTCACTTCCAGGGATCTGTAGGTGGCGGCACATCCTGCGCCCAGCGAACCTTGTGCATGTTGCCCGAGAAGCCATCGAAATTGGGCTTCCTTCAAAACCCCCATGCGCTGTGAGGCATCACAGGCTGTACATTGTAGAGATGTTGGCCTACTGGGGCGGCTGGAGGCAGGGCTGTACCTCCCGATGTACGGGAGGAGCCCGGAGGGGCTCTGCACGTCCATTCTGAATAGGCTCCTCCCATTGTCTTACAGCAAGGGTGTAAAGGCTGACGTGCGTCTTCAGTGTCTGACCACCCTAGTAATGGATGGGAACGGCCAAAGCAGGCTGGGCGGGAATTTAGGATTTAGGGTTTAGGGTTTAGAATTCAGGGTTTAGGATTTAGGGTTTAGGATTTAGGGCTGGGGTTTTGGGATATTATCCTTATAATGGAGAATCAAGTAGACAATGGAAAATGAGATGAAAACTCGGACTACGTAGAGATTTATTGAAGTGACGTTTTCCAAAATTGTGTGATCCCATTTGAGGGAGTGGGATGCGATAATATGGACTATATACAGCACATTGGGTTCTTCTCGGGGCCCCCCATGTTTGGAAACTTGCAATTGTCACAGGTTTTCTTGGGATAAAACGGTGCTTGTGTAGGGCCTATGTGGGCTGATATGAGGCTTAGTCCTTATCTCCTGCCACGCCTTGCAAGGTATGGGGAACTATATGCGAGTTTCTCAAAATAAGGGGTACTTTGCTTGGGTTCCAAGGAAGACAGAATAGAGCTTTTTGAGTGTCTGTATTGCGGAACCCCTAAACCCAAAACCCTAAACCTCCGACAGGAGGTAGGATCAAAGCAGCGTAAATGGGAAGGAGGCAAAGCTTGGTGAACAGCTCCTCGCGGAATTTCACGGGATCACTGCCGTTGTCCATGGCCAGAGCCTCTAGCCTCAGAAAAAGACAAGTGCTTAGAAGGGAAAGAATCCCCTCTATAGGATCCCAATGTCAGTCCCACTTTAAACCCTAAACCACTAAACAGTAAACCCTAGACCCAAACCCCTAACCTATGCCCATTCTTCTATCCCCTAGCAAGGATGACGGAGAAGAGTTTCAGGGAAACAGTCGCGCAGTGAATACAAGACTGCAGTGTGTGATGCATGGCATGGCCCAAGTCGTGCTCAGCCAGCTTGAAACTACTATCGGAGGGATTTGAAATAGCAGCAGTACCGTTCCTGGGCATTGGTGTCTGTCAAGACCACAGAAATGCAGCAAAAAATAATACTACTGTAGGAATCCGCTGGAAGAGGTCCCAGAATCCCAATCGAAAATTGTTGCAATCTAATCCCAATGCCCATTTCATTCTCCAATTTCTTTTCCATATGATTCTCCAATACTGAGATAATGTCCCTACACCCTAAACCCGAAATCCTAAACATTAAACCCCCAACCATATGGCAGTTTCCATTCGCTTTTGCATTATTGCTATTCAATATCTACATCTATACTTATGTGTATATATAGGTCTTGATCTATACATACATACATACATACATACATACAGACAGACATACATACAGACATCCTCTCCATCGCATTCTCCACTATGCTTCTCAGCAAACCAAGCTCTGAACTTGGCCCTGGCTGCTGCCAAAGCCATGCGGTATCCTCGGATGATGACCTGCCAATGACAGGCACCTTACTGCGCTTACGGGTTGCGGGGCAATCAGCAGGAGTTATAGCGGGTGTTGTTGGGATTCTGGCTGTGGTTTTATTGTCGCTTTCGTCATTCTCGTCGGTGGTAGTTGTGATGGCGGCAGCGGTGCTAGCGGCCACTTCATCGGCATCGACACCTCTTTAGCATCTTGCGCTTCCTGCACGTCAGGGACGACAAGTGCCAACGAAACATTGACCCTCAGGCCTGCGGGTGCATCTTCTGCTCGACTAAATTCTGCGCCTTGTCAAGGCAGTCAGTTACAGCTCACATACACCATGAATGCCCCTAGCAACGAGCCTCACAGACCAGAAAAACAATTGTTGTTGCGCAAGAACAGTGGAGGAAGCTTCTCCTGGCTTAGGCGACGGCGTTTCGCAGCATCTCGGCAGCTAGCACCACAACCGATGTCCTCAGCGCCACGGTTGGTAGGATTCACGGACACATCTCAAACGCTGAACTGATCGCGGCTGATACCCGTGACTACCATATGAGCCTCAGGAGATTTCAAATGTATGTGCTCAGGAGGGAGGAAATAGGGAGGAATATTTGCATGCGTATGCATCTGGATGCCAAGACGCATGCGGCCTTTGCGACGAGCTTGCCGCCAAAATGCTTGTATCTCCATTCCAATCTGCTGTAAAATCCATTCACCACGGTCTTGTGTTGTCGGGTGTGGGGTCTTATAGTTGCAGGAACACCTCCAACATCAAGTAAAGAACCCAAGAAACAGCAATACACAAGTACAGCAGGCAGTTGGAAGAACCAGCAGATCCATGACGCAAACATGAAAATATGTTCAAATGAGATGCAGCTGAGCAGGGGCAGCGAACTCTTTGTCACACGCTAGGTGCCGACATCTCATGTCTGCCAGCGGATTGTTCTGCAGGAATTCCAGAAGCACTGTCCTTGTAAACCCATAATCATGAGACACCCAAAAACCTGGCGAGCCGCCTACAGACCTGCAGATCTTAGCTGCGTACGTACCATCGCCGCATTCCTGGTCCTGCCCAGTTGCACATCTTCTGTTGGATGTTTTCAGAGCAGCATAACCGCTCAATGGCGTGGATGGCTGCACATATTACGGAAAAGGAAACATGCCAGGCAGATCCCATGGAATGCTAGCTACCAACTAGTTCTCATTCGGATGATAACTATTCCTGTTGATCCTCAATGGTTTCTGCGTGACATTGCCGCGCGCCTGTGTCTTGGAGATGTCGACCAAAATCCTGGCGTAGGCAGCCGTGTTGGGCTTTGGATGCAAGCAGCTCCCCCTAAATCCCCCTAAATCCTACATAGTAGTTTCCATTTTCTTTTCCATTATCCCCTGGGCCTGTATAACCCGTTATCCCCGGGCCTATATAACCCTGTATTACCCTATGACCGTACATTACCCTACATAACCCATTGTAGTCTTCCTCCAACTTAGGGTCCGCTTTTACACCTTGCGATATGGCCAAGCAAGAAGAGGACCCCAGATTATAACAAACCACTTTCATCGCGAAGCCTTTAACGTAGAACCCTGCATAATTGGTAATATCATCTCCCTATAAGCCTTGTCTGTCTGCTGTATGATGTACCCCAAACCCTGTTCGCTTCTAATTGACTAGGCCGGCTTAAGGTATGTTTTTCAAGGTCTAGGGGCTGAGGTTTAGGGTCTAAGGTCGTAGCGGGCTTAGAGTTTAGCGCCGATGCGGGCGCTGGTCTTCGGCGATTGTTCTGCACACCTGCTGATGTTTATCGACAAAAGATGGGACTTCGATTTTCACTTCCAGGGTTAGGGCCAGGTCATCTACACTTGAAAATCCGCCGACCCCTGGGGCCGGCGCCCAGCAGGTTCCCTCGCTCCCTCACCATTTCGCCGCATTTGTACTTCCTTTTTTTATCTACCTTTCTGCCCCCACATCACGCGTATCCTGGTGTCCCCACACTCGCCCCTCCCCTTTTTCTAGCCCAGGTCCACCCACCCGATCATAGGTTTTTAAGGCCGCCACATCTTGCCACTTCACCCTTCCTGGTACTACTTCCCCCTTCAAACCTTCGCCCGCCTCCCTGGCCCCCCACCCACCCCCTTCGCCCTTTCCCACCCACCTCCAGGCAGTGAGGTTTTTGTAACCTTAACAACTGGTCACGGGGGAGGGGAGGGGCGGGGGGGAGGCGTCCTGACCAATCACTGGGCTGTGTTAGTCACAGGGGGCGGGCGCGTGGCTCCCGCACTGCTCCCGACTTCACGAATCTTTCCCAGGAACATGCCAGCCTCAAGAAAATCCTCTGGGACCGGCAAAAAGCACTCTTTGCCTGAAGCCCCTCCAGTGCCGTCAGACGTCGCCGCCCTTTTTTCTTGGGGGTCGGCGCACGGCGTCAGCCCTTAAATCGGGCAACGCCCTTGGATTGCCGCCGCAG